CAAGGCAAAAGAATAATAAATTTTAATCAGCATTCCCAAATGTTCTTCTGATTGCCAAGAATCCTATATTATTGTTAGAAATTATAGGTTAAAAGTTCTTCTGAAGCAGTTTGTGGGAAGCCCAGGCCTCCTTAGCTTCCTTGACAAGGGCGGTGACGATTTAAGGTCCCCAGCCTGCCCTGAGAGATCACTTATATCGAACAGCAGATGAAAAGCCAGTGCAGATGTAATTTATCGTCGGCGTTTCCTTCTAAAGAATAATTGTGGAGACTTGGCTGGATCAATAATATGGATTTTTGTTGTTAGGTCTTGTAGTCTGCACCATAATGAGAGATAGGGGACAGTGGCTGTTTTCTAATAGAAAATAAAGGATTGGTTTCCGTGTCTTTCTACATTTGAATGCAAAATGGCACACTTGAAACTAATTCAAGTTGTTCAGAAAAGTCTCCTATTAGATTACTGTGATTATGTAAATATTGTATGTTAAGTGAACCCCCTTTATGGAGTGAAATATTACACTTAGTTTTTTCTTCAAAATTTTTGTTTTGAAAAATAGTCTGATGTCCACTATCCGAGCCTAATGCCTCTACCCCCTCAAAAAACAAACAAAACACAAGTGAAATCAAATTTAGAATGAAAAATCAAGTCATCAGGTAAATGTGACGTACAAATACATTGCAGGGTAACATCCTAACTAAAATTCTGCACTTCAAAAAATCGAGGTCACTAATGTATCTAGAATTGAATCACATTGAAAATTTATTAATAATTTTGTCTTTGTGCCTATACATATCTTCAAATAGGAAAGGGAATAAAACTTCATATATCTCTGCAGCATGTCTGCCTGTAAAGAGTATAAATCTCATGAGAATTTTTCTGTTTTTATGTTACAAGAAAGATGTAGGTCACAAAGAAGTTCATAAATGGGAGAAAGGAATCCCCGTCTTCCTGCATCTCAGAGTAATAAGGACCCTCTGTCTCACTAGAGTTTTCACTAGTTGGGTGGCACAGCCCTTCCACTGCCACACCGCTCCGCACACACATGTGCTCTCAGGCATGCGTGGGGGAGACCGGGCACAGATGTGTGGCCACGCGTGCACGGGGGGTTCATGCCCACAGCGCCGTGCTGGGAAAGACATCTTGGGGAACAGCTTTGCCTCCACATAGAGTATTATGTTAATATTAACGAGCAAATTATCTATGGGATTCTTAAAAAGTCTACTCTCAGTGTTATTTAATTGATAATATGGCTGGTTGGCAAGATTTATATTCCAAATTGATTAAATAATTAAATGAGTGATTATAATTAAACTTTATTCTTCACAGCCATCTACTCTATTTTTTTTTTTTAATCTTGAGATGATGATGCCAAGGGACAAACTTAACCCCAAAATAGGAAAGCAAAGATAGGAAAAATATTTAAATTCAACTTTATTTCATAAATGATAACAGTGAACATTTTCATATACCTTCAGGAAATGAGATTATACATAATTCGCTTTAAAACTCTCTTCATTAATGCATGTTCATCTAGACGACAAAAGCTAATAATGCTCACAAGTGAAGGGGGGACTCTTTTTGGTCACTGAAGTTATTCTGCCTTCCTATATTTACTGTTTTTTTTTTCTTCTAACTTTACAAAGGCAGCCAGCATTTTCCAAATACATCAAGCTAAATTTCTGTTATGAAATGCCAAAATGTTTTAGAACAAAGCCAGCTGACTGGGGCAAAACTGTTGAAAGACTTGTTGCATTAAACATCTAGATGAGTAAAGTACATAAGAATAGATACAAATGATTTATTTTGTTTCTGGAAAAGTATTTTATAATTTCGCTGTATCGCTCCATGGTTAGCATTTTTATTCTCTTTTGCCCTTCCCTTTGAGCCTTGTGGGATAAACTGCCCAGCTTGGCAGTGCTTACTGCCTGAATATGCTGCTGGAAAAAAGATAGATTGCATTTTTACACTGTAGGGGAAAGTGTTCACTTGTGTAAAAATGCTGAAATAAAATGAGCATTTACACACTTTTAACAAATACTGACTCTGCCAAATCTGTCTCTAATTGTTGCAGAGGTATTCCGTCCAGGACCGTCACTAAAGATGAATAATTGAAGTTTCTCTACAATTTCTTTAGCAATCCCTAGACTTGTTTTTTTATGCCATGCAAGTTTGAGAAACATAAATAGCACTGAATTGTTATTGGTGCTGAGTAATGTGGATTTTATTGTTACTTGGGATCTTCAGTGTGTGCAAGGAAATCATTTAATTCATATTATTAAGTAGGAAGTTATTAAAGAAGAACCTGATAGAATCAGGTAAAACCAATTCAATATCCTTCAGTTGTTGGAAAATTCAATATGTTTTATTTAAGCAGAATCCTAGATACTGTATATTAACTATTCCAAGCAATCTTTACTCAGCTCAGAAAGGCCAGATGTATGGGAATTGTAAAAAATCAGGATATGCATAAAAACTGTTCAAGTGCATAAAGCAGCCCCATCTGGAAGACATCTACCAGAAATGAAGTTGTACAAAACCATTCCATTGATAATAAAGCTAATTTTTATGGGTCTGACAAGTATGTAATTATGTTCAGTGGTGCTTTTCAGATTTTATCACAGTCAATAAACCGCAGTGGTAATTTCATTCCCATTTGACATATTTACATGGAAACATTTGATTGGAGGAATTAGTAACCCTGAAACCTTGATAGATATGTTTTAATGATCTGTGACCTCCGCAGTCCCTCATCTGTTTATTGTTGCAACAGGCGAGAAGTCGTTTCTGTGCGACCTCTGCGGCTTTGCCGGCGGGACTCGGCACGCGCTCACCAAGCACCGCCGCCAGCACACAGGTCAGTACGGCCGTCCGGTGCCCAGCACCCGCGCTCGGCCCTCCGTGGCATGTCTTGTCCGTTTCTGTAACCCCCGTGCTTGAGGGTCTGCTGAGGTTTCTACTTGAATGACCTAAGATTTGGAGTCACCTATTTTTATATGTTTAAAAAAGTCACCCTACTGCATGTATGTGCAGTGCAAATACATGGGATGTAGGAGGGGAGAGAGCTTTCTGCCACGTGCAGACACACCAGGCCCTCTCTGCTGGCGAGACTTTGCCGTGGATGTGGTGGGTGAGGCTCTAGGCTGGCTGGCTCTCCGGCGCAGCCCTCTCCCCTCAGCGTCCCCACCTACTTCCTTACTCGCCCCTGCCTCCTTAGTTGGCTCCTGGCTTATCCAGAGGGTCCCCCTCCACCCCGCCCAGCTACTGCTTGGCCCACCTATCCACCTGACCCTCCAGAGGCAGTCCCTTTGCGAGTTGGGACCAGTGGGTGCAGTTTTAGGTTCTTGCTGCTTCTGTTTTTCTTGCTCTGAAGAATGGAGAGCAAGTTAAGTAGACAGCGACACGGAGCAGCAGTCCTCTTTGCGATCCGCATCCTTAATCGTTCAACAAAATCAAGTAGGTGCCTCAGTTAGGAGCAGTTCAGAATGGAAAGTTTTAAATATTCATTAAAATTGATTACCTAGTTGGTCTTATAAGTAATTATGTTAATAATTGTAAATTATACGTGCCGGGGACAGTGCTGTTAATGGCATTGTCCCTTCTAATTATTAACAGAACTGTTTTATTATCAAAAGTGACCTAGTTTAGATGATAAATCATGTGGTAACACAATCTGTCACTCAATGTTGGGCTTTTCCTTGGGGACCGTGACGGTGGGTGTTCAGCGGTCACACTCGGAGTGGCATGAAATGAAGACACACAAAATAGGTTGGTTGTGGGACATTTTGAATCTTGATATGTTATATTTAACCACCATAGGTGGCTCCAGTGCCCATCGTGGCATTTGTAAGATTAGTAAAAACGAATGCCGGTCGCTCCTTTCAGATGGTGAGTGTGACCCGGGTCTCTGTATGGGGTCAGAGTTAGTATTGGGGGTGGGGAAATTCCAGTGTTCAGCGTGATGTTGGAAACTTACCCTCAATTCTGTAAATGTGGAAGTCCCCTTTCAGTTTATAGGAGCAACCTGTGGCCACAACCCGTGAATCCAGGGAAAGGGAGTCGGGGTCAGGGGTGGCAGGAGAGGCCCAGTGGAACCCAGCCCTCCTCGACAGCTGTCTTGGAGAAGCTTGGCGTGGTGTGTGTGTGTGTGAATGTGTGCTCACGTGGAGTGCTTTATTCTCAGCGTGTTCAGTGTATTGCTGCCGTGCGGTCCTTGTTGCTTGCCCGGTCGCTCCCTGCTGGGGCCCGGGACCCGCGGAGCCCCCTGTGCCACCTATGCCAGCGCGGCAGAGCTCCCTCTTCCCCGGTGGTGAGGACCGTCGTGCTGTGATCACAGGCGCTTACAGGTGATGGATCATGAAGCCAGCGTCGAGCAGGCACAACTTTGTACTTTATGTCAGGTCCAGAGGCTCCTTATTACTTTGCTATTAACTTTATACCATATAGGACAGTGTCTCACAGACAGAGGCATCTGTCTTCGTGGCATTTATCTGCCTCTCTGGCACAAATCAAACATGATTCTTTAATACCAAAGTCAGTTCTGAAGACTGTTTGCTTCAACCAAACAGCTTAGTACAACTCAGTCTAGGCCCTTGGCTTTTATGCTGGATTTGTAATATTTAAGCAACATACAACTTGTTTTTTTCCCAAGGCCAGAATCGTATGGTGCATTTGAAATCTATATTTCTCTGATGTATTCCTCTTCGACATGGTTTACCTTTTTACCACAGAGTGCCCACGCAAATCACAATCAGCTTGGAAAGGGATAGGTATCAAAAGTGTTCCAAATGGCGTAAATAATTCCCTCCTGCAATACAGACTGTCTAGGGGGCTGACACAAAACATCTTCCATTCCAAGATTTACTTTTATCACCTGTCAGAGACCCTTGATTCAAGGGCACAGGAGCAGATCCTCACGTGTAGCTGAAGGGTCTTGGCCAGTTTAATAACCAGCAGCCTGCCCAAAGGAATGCGAAGTGTGAGTTTCCATGAGAAGTGTGCAGCCCTTTTGACAGATCGTTGACACACAAAGGGCACTGCTCTATATCCATAGCCATTCTGGCATCCCCTCCCCCACCCCGACTTTCTTTACTTTTCTATCAGAGCTACCTGAGATGCAGAACATTTCTTAATGATTATTTTGGCCAAGATTATTGTTCATAAAGGAGAGTGTGAAGAGCAACACGATTTAATATGCACTGTTATGTCACATAAAGGGGAATAGGAGGAAAGGAAGGCCGCCTTTGTTCTGCTTTTTTGAGTAGGGTGGATGCAGGTGGCCCTGCTGACTTGCAGGTAGCACAGCTCAAGAGTAGGGAAATGTCTCACGCCTGGATCCACTCATCTTTCTGGTGTTGGAATGACGGAGGTTTCAGAAGGGCTGTTCCCAGAGGTTTCAGAAGGGCTGTTCCCGGTGCACCAAAGTCATTTTGGTCAGTCCTTAACAAGTGTATGCACCCCTTCATATAGTACCTATCTCAGTTCAAGCATGGACAAATATTAGCAAACTGGAATTCTTATTTAAAATGTGTGTGTGTGTGTGTGTGTGTGTGTGTGTGTGTGTGTGTATGTGTATACACTTTTTTTTTTTTTTCAAATTTTACAACCTAAAAAGTGAGTTTATTTCTTGGGCTATATATTGAGCCTAATAAACACAAAAACTACTTATGTGTTTCTGAAGTATAGTTCCCTGAAAAAATTACTTGAAGAAATTTCCTGAAATTACCTGAATAAATTATCATTTGTGGATGAAAAAAAAAATTTAAACAGTAGCATTGGGCATGTAACAAAATGAATGAGTTATAAACTAACTGTTATGCACAGATTTGATTAAACTGTACTTTGTAAAAATTGACATAGTTTTCTTCCCCTTCTGGGAGCCTACACATACATACTTGAGCCTTCCTTTACTTAGTGCTTATAGTATAGGATTTTTATGTTGCATATTTTGGTAGCATTATATTTTTTTCTCTGTCAACCTGCATATAATTCAAAATTTCCTAGTGTTACACAGTTTAATCCACAGTGTTGTCAAGTATGAAATGATAACTTATAGTTCCTTACAATATAATGCTACCCTAATGTCAACTCCAAATTAGTAGAATTATAGAGAATATAAATGACATTATTCTTTAAAAGTGTTTTTTGTTTCAATTGTGTCATATAAAAATGTCATAAAAATTTAGATGGAATAAGCTATGTTAACTTTGTTTTTTAAGTGCTTATGTTAAATCTCTAAACTAAGAAAATTAACTTTGAAGATCTTAAATGACCTTTCATTTACACTGCTAACTCAGACAATGAGTCCATAATGTCACCCTCTATCCTCTCCAGATTCCTGCCAAATCCATGAAAAATGGATAGATTAAAGATGCCTACCCCAAGGCTATTTGAATAAACAATTTAGCAGTGAGTTGTGACACGACACATTTTCAAACACTAGTTTGAATGGAATAAGGAGACATCAGGATATGGTTGTCTTACTTGCTTAATGAAAAAAACATCTTTTATTGTTTGACTACTTAGATTCATTATTTTAAGAGTGGAAGATTTGTACTACCTAACTTGACCTCTTATTATGTAGCTACAATAGTCATGACCATATCGTATTGGCCTGAAGTTACACAGATATATCAGTGGAACAGGATAGATCCATGCCTGTAGTTGTCAGTTGTTTGTGACCAAGGTATATGTAGAGAGAAAACTAACAAAGGATGTGCAAAACCCCTACACTGGAAACTGCAAAGAATTGCCAAGAGAAATTAAAGAACCTAAATAGAATGACATACCATGTTCATGGACTCAAAAGATTCAGATCCCATCAAGCTTTCTTGTTGGTGTTGAAAAATTGACAAGCTCATTTTAAAATTCAAAGAGAAATGCAACGATCCAGTGTTTGTTCAGCAGCACATAGACTAAAATTGGAAATGCAACTATCTGAAAGAGTTTTGAGGACGATGAACAAACCTGGCCTCATGACTTACCATAAGGCTACAGTAATCAAGTCATTCTGGTATTGGCATCAAGAAGACACATCTATCAGTGGAATGGGGCAGAAATTATAGAACAGACCTATGTCTGTATGGTCAATGGAATTTTGACAAAGGAACAAAGGCAATGCAGTCTTTTTAATATATAATGCTTGACTAATTGGATATATGTATGCAGTAAAAATGAACTTTGATCTGTATATCATATCATGTATAACATTAACTCCAAACTGTTCTAAATAAAAAATTGAAAACTATATAAATTCTAGAAGAAAATTTAGAAGAAAAATCTTTTTGACCATAGATTAGCAAAGATTTCTTAGATACCACATCAGAAACCTGATTTTTAATTAGAAAAAAAAAACCCATAACTTGAAAAATTATAAACTGACAAACTAAAAACTTTATATATTAGTTAGCTACTCCCCTATGGAAAGACACTGTGAAGAGAATGAATGTGAAGATAAACCAAAGACTGGGGAAAAATATGTATAAATCACAAATCTTATTGAGGATTTGTATTTGTAATGTATAAAGAAGTCTCAAAATAAAAGAAAACAAACAACTAAAAGGGGGTTGAATGATTTGAACAGACATGTTACCAAAGGATATAAATGTATGGCAGATAAGCACATGAAATGATTCTCAACATCATTAGAAAAATACAAACTGAAAGCACTGACCGTACCAAGTATTGGTGAGGATTTGGAACAGTGGAAACTTTCCTCTACTGCTGGTAGGAATGTAAAATGGTCAGACCACTCTGGAAAAAGGTTAGCAGTTTCTTACAAAATTATTATGTACCTACCAAATGACCCAGCCAACCCATTCCTAGATGTTTTCCCAAGAGAAAAAGAGATACACGTCCATGCATAGACTTGCACATAAAGATTTGTAGCAGCTTAGTTTGTAACACCCCAAAATGCAAACAATTCAAGTGTCCTTCAGTTGGTGGATGGATAAACAAACTGTGGTACATTCATATCATGGAATGCTACTCCTCCGCTTGTAATAAAAAAAACAAATATTTACGCTCGGAGCAACATGAATGAGTTGCAAAATAATGCTGATACAAGGTCAGACAAAAGAGAGTACATACTCTATGTATAGAAATCTCTAGAAAATGCTAACTAATATATAGCAACAGAAAGCAGATGAGAGTTTGTTTGAGGATGGAATGAGCCAGAGAGAGAAAGGGACCTTTGGGGGTGGTGGCTGTGTTCATTGTCTTGAATGTGGTGGTAGTTTCAGTCCACCTTGTATGGTCAGTATAGCTACATCAAGTTAGTGAAACAGTTAGTAATGCGTGTGGTTTTATCCAGATGAGTGCATCACTTTGTGTTCCTATTGTCCATGTGAACTGCTCTGTGACATTGGTGTGTAGCTAAAATAGTCTTGCAGTTCAGTTCTCATAATGAATGGAGAAGTTTTCAGATATGCTTCCCTGCGGATGTTTGTGTCTTTATGATATAGCATATTTCTATATCAAATTTGAAGACACAAGAGACATTTTCTTCAGCCTCGGCAAGAGGAAGATCATCTGCTGTCTCAAACAAAAGCAAAATCCATCATCATCATGAAAGGGAGTTTTTGTATAAGTTCAGTGTAGTTGTCTATACCAATGTAAGTGCCTTGACCAGCAGTTTAGAGACCGTGAACGAAGTTATTCAAGTTGACCCTGAGTGATCGCTCAGTTGTGTTATAGATGGGATTTATCTTGAGAATAAATGGCTGAAAGGTACAGATATGCCTCTCAACTCCCAAGATTTTACTCTGCTTTGCATATGTTCTTATTTTTACAAAAATAAATAAAGTATTTCCTTGTAGGATCTATTAAATGGTTTCTCTATGTTAAATTCACTGTGAGAAATCACATAATTGTTTTGTATATAAAAAGGTTTGTCTAAAAAAAAAAAAAAAGGTTTGTCTTTTTACTGTTTTGGAGAGCTTGATGAGAAGCACAGGGGTGTGCCCCTTCTTTCATCTCCGTGGGAGGGTAGTGTGCCCGTACCTGTGTTCAGCCACTCCAGGCACTCAGGCCACAGAAGCAGCGAGGCATTGGACCCTCTGAGAAGTACCTTGCATGTGCTTTGTCTTCTCTAATCCTCATAACTGTCCTGCTGTCCTGCTTGTTCGGTGGTTTTACCCTTCTGATCTTGTCCAGGGAGTTAACAGGTAGGGAGTGAAATATGGCAAAACCTGGACTGGGACTGAAGGCCGTCTGGCTTCTTCCAGCCGCCGCCCGGCCGGCAGTGATAGGTAGGACGCCATCTGCTGAGACGTGAATGTATTCAGCTAACTGCCACATAAATAGGACAAGACTAAACAGTCTAGTTTTCAGGACAGATGTAGTCTTGTTGCTAGTGAAATTGATGTAGAGTAATTTTATACCAAGGTAGTTCATCCTTTGTTTTCTACATAAGTCAGTATACTTGTAAAACTATTAAAAAAACACCAGAATTAAGATGTGCCAAGTAGAATTTTGCACATACATAAAATTAATCTGTGTGTAAAATTTCTCAGAAAGAACGTTTGCTGAGAGGAGTATTATTGTATATTATAAATAATTTGGGGGAGGAGGTGGTTGTGAAGTTTTTTCTAGTTCATTGCTGTCCAACAGAAATGTCATGGAAGCTACACTTGTCATTTTAGGCTTCCTGGCAACCATGTTAAAAAAAAAACAAAAGAGTAACCGGTGAATTGCTTTTTTAAATAGTGAACGAAATATCTATTCATGTCTCCTGCCCATTTTTTACCTGGATTATTTTTTGGGTGTTGAGTTTTATAGGTTCTTTATGTATCTTGGACACTAACTCTCTATCAGATGTATCATTTGCAGATCCCCCATTCCAAAGGTCACCTTTTAGTTCTGTTGATTGTGTTGATTATGAAGTCCCAAATAATTTATTTTTGCTTTGGTTTCCCTTTCCTCCAGAGACATACTTAGTTAAGGAGTTGCTATCGCCAGTGTCCAAGAGGTTACTGCCTGTGTTCTCCTCTAAGATTCTGATGGTTTCCTGTCCATCATTTAGGTCTTTCATCCATTTTGAATTTATTTCTATGTATAGTATAAGGAAGTGGTCCAGTTTCATTCTTTTGCATGGAGCCGTCTAGTTTCCCAGCACCATTTGTTGAAGAGACTGTCTTTTTTCTAGTGGATGTTCTTTCCTGCTCTGTCAAAGATTAGTCAACCATACAGTTGTGGGTCCATTTCTAGATTTTGTATTATGTTCCATTGATCTGTATGTCTGTTTTTATGCCAGTATCATCGTGTCTTGATCACTACAGCTTTGTAATGTAACTTGAAGTCTAGAATTGTGATGCCTCCAGCTCTACTTTTCTTTTCCAAGATTGTTTTGGCGATTCGGGGTCTTTTGTGGTTCCATACAAATTCAGAAGACATGAGTAGACACTTTTCCAGAGAAGACATCCAGAAGGCTAAGAGATACATATAAAGATGCTCAACATCATTCATCATCAAGGAAATACAAATCAGAACTATAATGAGATACCACCTCACACCTATTGGAATGGCTAAAATTAACAGCACTGGAAACAACAGATACTGGCTAGGGTGCAGAGAAAGGGGAGCCCTCTTAACCCTGCTGGTAGGAATGCAAACTGGTACAGCCACTCTGGAACACATTATGGAGGTTCCTCAAAAATTAAAAATAGAACTCCCCTATGATCTAGCAATTGGACTACTAGGTGATTCAAAACCACCTAGTACAAAGGGTACAAATATGGGACAGAAATGGGTACAAAGGGTGCAAAATGCTGATTCAAAGGGACATGGTGGGTAGCATTATCAACAAGAGCCAGATTATGGAAAAAGCCCAAATGGCCAATCAGCTGATGAATGGATAAAGATGTGATGTGTATTTCTATATATACATAAAGATGTATATATAAGAATATTATTCAGCCATCAAAATGGATGAAATCTTGCCATTTGCAACAGCGTGGATAGAGCTAGAGTGTATTACGCTAATCAAAATAAGTCAGTCAGAGAAAGACAAATACCATATGATTTCACTAATAGATGGAATTTAAGAAGAAAAAGAGATGAACATGGGGGAACAAAAAAGAGAGAGGCAAACTTTATAGAGTCTCAACTACAGAGAATGAACTGAAGGTTCCTGGAGGAGAGCTGGGGGGATTGGGGTTGTGGGAAATAAGTGATGGGAGTTAAGGGGAGTGAACTTGTAATGATGAGCACTGGGTCTTGTATGTAGGTGGTGAATAACTAAATTCTACCCCTAAGACTTATATCACACACTATGTTAATTAACTGGAATGCCAATAAAAGCTCAAAACTAAAAAAAAAAAAAAAAAAAAAAAAGTTACACAAATACATCAAATTACTTTCATTTCCAACATGAAATCAATATAAATTATTATATTATTTTTGTTCTGAGATGTTGAAATTTGGAGTGCATTTTATACTTCTAGCACATCTTAATTCAGAGACTAAATTTTTATATCTAATCCATGATTGATATTTAGATTTGATAAAATTTGTACTTAAAAAGTAGATTCACATTCCCAAGATATTCTCTACAGACATTTTTTTTTACATAGGTAAATCCCCTATCAGTTTTTTAAATTTAAAACTTACACTGAGTGAAATAGCCGTATTTCAAGTACTTACCAGCCAGTATGGCTAATACAATTAAAAACTGAGATTTGATGATTTCTTTGAATGTGTGTGTGCGCAGGGGGAGTGGTTAGTGCAGAGAAAGGCCTCAGTCAGAGGACTAGCCGTGAGCGGCGTGCAAGCCTGAGCCAGCTGACTGGTGAAATGCGCATGTGGGTAGTGGTTAGATCCATCCGGGGGACACTGTGAAATAGTATTGCACGTGTTTCTTTGAGGCCTTTTTTTCTGTGGTGACCTCTTACTCACCTGTAGTGAACTATAAATTTTCCTTACGTCAAACAGTTTTTTCATTGGTATCTAATTAGAGCTTTATTTTTTTCTTCATATTTAACTTTAAGATTTTATACAGTATATTCAAAGAATATCTCTATTCTATGATTTTTCATGCTTTTATCCTCAGGGAGATTTTTATAATGGCTCTACTGTAACATAATTTGTCAAATGACTCCAAATGCAGTGCTCGACCAGGCTTTTGTGTAAGTTTGTGTAAGTTACATTTGAGCGCCATAATATGTACCTTGCCTCCATTCAAATATAGAAGTAAAAATCAGTGGTGTCTTCTAAGTTTCTCACTTGGGGAGTGAATATTCAGGTGTCCTAAATGTGAGTAGCCCATTGAACTATATTCTTAAATTTTTATGGAAGTAAGTTTCTTTTTAATTGTTAGTAACAGGTTTGGCCCTTCATTTCCAGTTTTTATAATTATTCATGTATAGCACTGCTTTATATTTTGCAGGAGAAAAACCTTTCAAATGTGATGAGTGTAGCTTTGCCTCCACAACCCAGTCTCATCTGACTCGGCACAAGCGGGTGCACACGGGAGAGAAGCCCTACAGGTGCCCCTGGTGTGACTACAGGTAAGGGTTCGTTACCAAGCAGGTGGAGTCAGTGGCCGTCGCGTTGCGTTCACAGGAAGGAATTGCTCTTCTGATGAACGCGAATTAGCACAGCGTAAAGCAGGATTCACTTACTAGGTCGGGAATTTATTTCACCATCCAATTTTAGTGACTGTTTTTTTAAAATTGTAAAGTTCTTTTCCATTTTTTATAATCTTAACACTTCGGGTTTGTAATCCTTTATACACCTGAATTTCAGGTGATTTTATTTCTTGGCCAGAGTAAGGGACCGTCCCATTTCATGAGTTATTCCATGCATGTGGCCCTTGTCTACACCGAGTGAAGCACTTTTAGGCAATGAAGACAATGCAAGAAATGTTTCCTGCCTTGAAGGACGTTGAGGCAAAATAGGTGACTAGTAGTGCCTCTAAAGAGTTATAATACAGATTTCAGTCAGGAAAGAAAAAGGCCAGGAGTGTCCATAGGAAGAAACCAGTCCAGCCACACGGACTTCCTCCTAGTGGAGACAGCATTTCAGCCGGTGCTTAAAAGATGAGGAAATGTCCACGACCTAGGCGCAGGAGGTAATGGTGTGCTGTAGCATTTTCGGGCCGACAGTGTGATCCAGATCACATGTGCTCAGCCCATTCCCTGCGATCCTTGGTGGCTAAGGGATGTCTGCCACACTGCAGAGTCAGCCTTGCGGCCACAGCAAGACATAGGTGCCAGAAGTTGAAGACGTGGTCAGGCAGTGGTAAATAATCCCGTTTCACTCTGTGTTGAAGTGTGTGTGGAGGGTGCAGATGAAAATTAAAATGGGAACTGGACATTGCGGCCAGATCGTGCTATACCTGCAGCCCATGAGAGTGAATTGAGAGCATGTTAGATGGTTTGTTGGACACCGCAGAGTCTGCAGGCAGCCAGGTGACACCTGTCTTAGGGGCTTCATTCAGCCACACTGTGCAGTCTGAGTCTCTGTGTGAGGGCCTTCTCCATTCCGGAGCTGAAGATCTTATGGACCCCATTACACATGACGACACAGGGCCATGGAGGGGGGGTTCTTTCAACACAGCCCGCTACTGTTAAACGTTAGGATCTATATATACCTTAAGCCTGAAGCCTTTTTTAAAAAAAGACATGCTTGTATTCCTGTGCATTCCTGTAGCCTGTGTATTCAGTAAATAGATTGACATAATCTCTGTTATTATCCTCATTATTGCAGTAAGTTTTATGTTAAAGGTCATTTAATACTACAGAGATATTACAGATATATTTCATTCATTAATTATTCATTCATTCAACATTTTATGAGTTCTGTCTTTGCTTAGCACTAGATTGGTGTTTCTGGGAAATTTGGTAAAATGGTGATCCAATTAGAGGTGGACATAGAGATTTTAAGGTGTTGATATGAGTTCTTTAAAAAATAAACAGTTTGAATATTCTTTTCCATACTGAAGAGGTCATACTGTATAGTTGCCTTCTCCGTAAAACGCAGAAAAGCAATTAGAGAAATTGTAAAAATTTCTCCTAATTATCTCTTTAAGCTCAGGATTATACCCTTTCGGTCTATATTGTATGCATTAGATTTGAGTTGTGGTTCTGGGGGATTTTTTTATTTCTTTTAAATTTTAGTTTTCATACTTAACAAATTGGGACCACCTTTCCATTTCGTTAATTTTGTGTAACTGTGGTTTTCAAACTGTTGTTTTAAAAGTAGCAGAACTGTTGTTTCAAACAGGATCATTTCCACACCCCTATATAAAATATATAAAAGTGTTTTTTACTGCTTAAAAGTGAATTTCTTAGGTAACATCTGTAATATTTACTCATAATATTAAGAAATAATTATATGATGCTGTTTTGACAGGAAAAATTTTTCCAATGGGGAAGCTATTGATCAGAATAGCTGTTGAGTTAGCCCTGGCGTCCAGTCCATGTCCTCGTTCTGGGGTAAGCAGGAGGCTGTGTAGCTAAGGGCTCAGGCTCTGCAGGAGCGGACCCAGTGGGCTCTGCCATCTTAACCTCTCGTGAAATACGGGCGGCGAGAGGAGCAGCCTTCCGGGAGCCTCGCTCACATTAGAGGAGGAGCGCGGCCTGGCAGAGACGCGGGGGCCCTGGGTTTCCTCTCAGACTGTCCCTTGGATGGTTACAGGTGTTCCTTCACCTTGTGACCTCAGGATAGTGTTCAGTGCAAGAGTGTCAGTGCCCTGAAGGTCTTCCGTTTTTTGAAGTTTATTTATAATGCATGCCCTGATGGACTTTCCCCCCAGTTTTTGAAGTTGTTAAAAATACATTAAACCCAGCATCGTCTGTTACATAGTCACTGACATACCGTAGAGCTCTGAATGCCTCACTTGAGGACCACTCGTCTCCAGTGCATTCTGATGCTTGCATGGCTTCAAGTTAGATGGATAAACAGTAGTCACTTCATGAGGTTTTTTAGACATTTGGGCCATTTTTAGGCATTTTCATTTGAAAATGCTTACTCCTAAATCTCTGTGCATATCCATGATTTTTTGCAAAAGAAATTCCTAGAAGTATGACCTATGGCTTTTAATACTATTAAATTTAACTTATTTAATAGTATTACTATTATTATTAATTATTATAGTATTACTACAAAGATAGGGGTTAGAATATTGTCTCATCGGTAAGTACTGCGTTTTCTTAGACTTAGTCTTTGTGTGCCTAAACATTTCAAAATATTTCAGGCTTTCTTGGTTTGAAATCGTATTATGCTTTTGCTGAGGTTAAGGTTGTGTTCCCTGCCTTGTATGCACACTGTCTCCCTGACACAGCGTCACGTCCGTTCAGAAGGGCATCGAAGGTAGCTGGGTTCCATCCCTGCGACGCCTCCGACAGCCACTGTGGGTAAAAGGAGACTGTGTTTTCCAAGAATATTGCCACTGCCCTGTGAATTAATACTCGGGACACTTACATCTCATGATGTCTGTCAGATTTTCTTTTGAAATGTTTGAAATTCTTGATAAAAGGTTGGTTTTATCTTTCTTTAGAAGTTTTTGGAAATTTGATTATTATTGACAGTTAACAGTTTGAATACTTGTTATTCATGTAACAGGCCCGTGTACATGTGGTTAGGTCTGTTTACTCGTGAACAAAGATAAGTTGACCATGCTTAGGAATACCAAGCCTTGCAGGTACATGAATAGCAATGTTAGGAACTATGAATGAAATGATACCTTTGTATCATTTCATTCATACCTTTGTATCAAACAGATACCTTTGTTTTCTTGTTGATGAGCAAAAGATTTAAAAATGAGCAGAGAAGTTTACAATGATCGTCTTGGTTGCATAGTGTAATAAGAAAATGCTTTTATCATGTCTGCCTTATAACTACAAGGAGAATATCTTTTTCCTTTTTTGAGTATGTGTGACTTCCATGGAATAAAAATATTCATAAGATGATCAGATATTTCTTAAGATGATGTGGTTATATTTGTCCTATTGATATTTTTCTATTTTTTGCTTTAAAACACTTTAACTTTTTTCCCATTTAGATTTTTATTTGTTGTTAATATAGATATATAAAAATTATTCCCATAGAGTATTCCTGTGTTTGTCATTATTAACACTTATTTGCAGGTAAGTTTACCATCATTAGAAACTGAAATATTACTTACGTTTCACTTGAAAATATATTTTTCATTTTATAAATTGAACATTAGTGAAGAAATACTTGCAGTTATAATTATTCATGAAAAATGTAAATATAGATTTGTTTACAAAAGAATTTTATAATTGGTCTTTTGAACCTGGGGCTATTTTTCAAGTTTGCATTATTAATTTAGGCAATGACATCTCATTCTATTCAGATATAAACATGTACCCCTTTTCCTAAGCTTTTGCTGTCTAAAATATCCAAAAGTCTAATCTATTACAAATCCGTATATTCCATCATTACTCCATAACTTTTTCACCATTAATTACTATTCATTATAATTTCAGAGCATAAATTTAGATTCATAGCACACTGTCCTGCCATATTATCTGTGCAGCAAATTCTTTAGGTTTGTTTCTACATTAAAATGGAAACAGTCCAGCATTTTTCTGTATTTTTATTTCCCTTTGTTATATATTGTCACTTCTATGTTACAAAATAGAAAACCTTTAAAACGTTATGTAAGCACCCTTTCTAAAAATGTAAATCCTTATTTCCCCATAGAATTTATTAGCATCAAACTGTATTCTGTTTTACTAGTGACACTGGCTCTCACAACAAAATCGATGGCTACACTCGGCCTCTCTTTTACGTGAAACTCCTCTTCTAATTGCCCTCCATTTTTTATTTAGGATTTATGGGAGAATACAATAGATGTGTTTTAAACAGTAAACCTTCTAAGTCATGAGAAAACAAAAAAAGACACAATGCTACCTGCAGTATTAAAAATATTAAGGATAATCATATGTTATACCTTAAATGTCATTTAGCAAATTAAAGAAAGCTAAAATTTCAAGTCAGACTCTGGCAATTTGGTGACTTACGTTCCGTGTCCCTGTTGTGGATGTCGGAATAGTGTGCATGTTCCCCAAGATTGCTTTTGACCAGAGTTTTCCTCAGCTGTACAACTGCCTTTGTACCTTCAGTCTTACACACAGTCTTAAAAAATTTTTTTTTACCATTCCATTTTTCATTTTATTTACTATTATTGTTATTTTTAAATTACTTGTTATTATAACCCCAATAGAAATATCACTGTATCATTGATCTTTGGAATAAAATCTGCAATTCCTGCTTCATGGGAAAGATTCACTCCATTGTTCACTAAAGTTGTAGGAAATACACTCTGATTCGCCCCCCACACACACTTGTTAGTTTCCTTAGCTCTTGGCCGGTGTAGTCCATAGGAGTCACTAATACATAAGGTTTTGCTCTCAAGAAAATTTTTCTTTCCTGTCTGAGTGAGAGGGAGGCTAAGAATATTTGATGTAACATTTAACTGAAGAAGTGATATTGCAACTAGAAATGGGCTTTTTGTGATACTCCTTCATGTTTCTCTATT